ATTAAATAATAAATTATTATAATAAATTAATTTTTTAATTATAAATTAGGGCTATATATGTCTATGTGTTACTATATTAATGAATAGAGATACTGCTAATATAATATCTTGTTAATATAAGAATTTCTCATAGAAGAAATTACCCTTAATTTTTCTATTTATCAATTTAGACTAATAAACGAAAAAACTAGTCTTTTCTAAAAAGAAAGAAACGCTAATAAATGAAAAGATATCTTTTATTGAAAAAATGAATAAATAAACAGATAAAATTAATCTTTTCTCACCAGAAGAGATAATAAATAACCAATAAAAATTTTATTCAAAAATAAATAAATAAACAAACAAAAAACTATTTTTTTCTCAAAAAAAGTAATAATAAAGAATAATCCGAAAACAACTCGTCCCCACAAGTCAAAACTGTATTTCTTTATTATTGACTCTTGACTCGTTCCTTCTTTTCCTGCACCAACTCCTTTTCCTTTTTTTTGGTCTTTTTATTATTCTATTTCTACCATTTCCTCACCACTTCTCTGATTCTTCTTTGATTTCATGATCTTTTAGTCCTCAGCTACGATGTCATCTTCAATGGAAGCAAAAGGTACGATCTTCCCTCTACTCAATCTTCTGTTTCATTTTTCATTTTTTTTTTGTTCCTGCTTGGTTGCCAAGAAAATGCTTTTCTGTTAGTTGTAGTAATAGTCTTAGAAATTATCAGTTAAATACCCAACTTTTGATTGTTGGTAGTGGTGTGTTGAGTGCCAAACAGATCCTTAGCAACATCCATTCCTCCAAATTCTTGACCAAAGAATTTGGTTTTTAAGTTCGGTTTTGGTTCGCTGGTTTTCGATCCCTTTCACCGACTCGACCGAACATATATATGATGAAATCTTGGTCTCAAATCATCGATGGGATAATCTACGAAACCAAGCGATTGTTCATTATTTGTTCTCGAAACCTTTTTACAATAAGGGTGCAATATCATTTATTGAATCAACTGGGTTGTAAAGAACCATAATGGATAATGTCTGCTCTAGAAATAGGGTGCGAAGTACAATTCTAATAGGGTATGTTTGGATTGAGAGAATAAAAAAAATGGGGGGAAGGGATTAGACGCGAAAAAGAATGATGCATTAGTTTCTAACACTTTCAAATAAAAACGATTTTAAAATAGAGTGAGTACTAAATTCAATATTTTGTGAAAGTATAGCTATTTCCGTTCGTCTTCAATTCCTTTACATTCCTTATGTAACATTTGTTTTTCCGTGATTGATAGCAATTAGGGTTCCTCAAGTTAAATTGTTAACGTTTTTGTTTCTAATATCATCCACCTCTAGATGGAGGGAGAGAACCAATGGAATTGAAGAGGGAATTAAAGAACCTTCCGATGGTCATAGCAGTGAAAGGTCATCCAAATGAAGCCGTAGAACTTGCTAAGTACCTCTAGATACTCCTTCATTAATCATCAGGATGTCGCATTAAATCTTCCATCCTCCTCTGACAAACCTGCAGCCGCATCTCAACTTGATGATTTGTGCTTCAACATTGTCTGTCAAGTTGCCTCCACCCAGCTCAAGATGGAGATCAGGGTCGTCATTAGCGCCCCGCGCCGTAACCCGAGCCACTTTGATCAGTTAGTGAAGCTGGCACAGTCAGCAGACGCAAGCCTGATGGTAGTCCAGTACCAAACCTTGGACAAGAAGGATGATTTTCCTGTTCGAGGGCTTGTCAAGCTCCTGGTGGACACCTCAGAACCCTTCGACGTTAAGAAACTTGTTAAACAGATGCTGGATGCCAAAGAGCTGCCTAAGTTGAAGTGGCATTTTCATGCTCTGAAACTCTATACTGACGGTAAGGATAAACAGAATCGGAATCTCCATTGCAAACGCTGTCTGGCGCACATTTCCGGTCCCAGTTATCAGTGTGTTGAATGTGATAAGCACAATTTCCATAAATCCTGTGCCGAGTTAGCCGGTAGTTTAGACGGTCTTCGCGAAAACTGCCCCTCATATCTCAAAGGGAATAAGCCTAATTATAAATATTTTTCAGAGCAGCACAAGTGCGAGAGCTGTAAGGTCAGCAACAGCAACTTCTCCGAACATTGCCATCATTGTCTGTTTCAGACCAACGTGAAACTTGGACATCTACCAATCGTTCTTCGACACAATTCTCATGCACATCCTCTGAGTCTCATCATCATGCCACACGCCCATAATTACCAGTATGCATGCTGTGGCTGTGGTGACTTAGGTGAGTGTATCAGCTACCGATGTTCCGACTGCAACTTTAATCTTCATATTAGTTACGTTTTGTTACAGCCTGTTCTTAAGAGCATACGCCACATACATCCTCTTGCTCTTTACTATGGACTTGGGGAGGATGATCTTGATTATGAAGATTCCCAATGTAATATTTGTAACAATGGCAGAAACCCAGATAACTGGGTTTACGTCTGTGAAGAATGCAAATGGGTAGCTCATATTGCCTGCGCAATATGACAAAATAGAAATGTTTATCTGATTTCTGTCATTTGCAGGTATTATGATTGTAAGTTTATAATATTGTATAACATTGTAATTATATCATTTTCAGTAAGATAAGTGTTGGTGTGCTCTCTTTTTTGGCAACCATAACATGTTTCAGCGGAAACTTCGGCTTAGTTTATTCTGTGAAGTGGAGTCTACTTTTGAAGTTCCAACACATTATTATTTCCAAATACTATTGTATTAACTTTAGTTTTATATTATAGAAACTGTAATTTCATCATTTTAGTTTTAGTTGATAAAGTTATTTGAATCTCAATTGTTTATGAATGACGATTGTAGTTTTCCGAAGAAAAAGAAAACGAGAAAGGAAGCATCTTGTGTTGTTTGTAGCTAAAGCTTAAGATCACATGGTTCTTGATCTTCAAATTGTAAATTTGCATTAGAAAACTTGTTTGTTCTTGTTATCTTCAAATCCCTTGGTTACTCACATGTGGTAACAAAGTAGGCTAAGAATAAAGAAATTGCTGTCTCTGCATAGCAAAAATAAAAATGCACCGGCGCGCCACTTGTTTTTGTTGAGAGTACAAAGGTTGGTGGCGATTCTCACTCCTTTAAAAGAGATGACACATCCATCCTTAATCAATGAGCTTTCGTCGACTTGCATTCTTGGAAGAAGTGTGTATCACTAAAAAAGTAAAAATCCTTCCAGCTCGCTTTGCATAAAACGAGAGGCACGCGTGCGAAAAAGAAAGGATAGAATTTTGGAGATAACAAATGACGGGCCAAGAAAAAGAGAAAAATGGATGAGCTAAAATACTAATTTGTCCCTCAACTTTTAAATTTATATTAAATTTATCTTTAAACTTTAAAAAATATCAAAATTATCTTTGAATTTTAATTTTTAATGCTAATTTTATCTCTCCATTAATTAGAAGATGACTTGACTAACTTTTCTGTCCAAAAATTCATTTTTTTTTTTAATTTGAATATTGTGTGGAACCGAGATGGAAATTCTAACAGTTATGTGACAAGTTTTCTTGCTTATTTGACATTTATGTTGGTATTTCCATACTTCAAAATTTTAAAACAAGTATTAGGTCCCTCTTGGCTTACAAATTAAAGCAATTAATTTAGAAAATTAAATCATTAATTATGTTTAACTCTAATTAAACTTAAACCAAAAAAAGCAACTTACAATTCCCGAGAGACGTATAATTTTTATGTAATTTGACTACAAGGGAAAGATATTTTTGGGTATAAATTTTAATTGAAATCTACTGCAAAGAGTATACACATAAAATTAATCAATCTATAATTTAATGCATCATTGTACAATCAAATCAAACTAAATTGCAAACTATAACAAACCATCTACAAAATGCAAGACTCAAATATCAAAGTTTCCTACACTACCAAGCAGAATACTAAGATTATTCCAAGTTAAAATAAACAAGAAAGATTTGAATTGATTTGCATGACAATATAAAACCTAAAAAATACAAATTCAAAAGAAAAACATGACTACATGAATGTTTAATCAATATCCCAGATACCATCCAAACCAATGGGAAAATATATGTTAGCAGAGCAGAAAACTAGAAATGGGGGAGAATAAAACCTGCTATGATTTCAATACACTCTGAATCAAAAGCCTTTCAAATTGAAGATGACACTCATATACCTTCAGCGGATATTGGAGCCCAAAGGTTAGCTAACTTCCAACGGAGAGACCCTAACTCCTCCAAAGTGTCTCTCTGAGAGTGAGCAAGGGAAAGAAAGGGACTAAGACTAGATTTGAATTAATTCGACAAAGAAGCATATAAACGTTAAAGACCAAAAAATGCAGTTATACATACCTTTTCTGCATTAAGCGTTCTAATGGTGGTATTGAGGTCAACTTCCCAGCACCCCTTATCATATCCTGTCCGACATACTTTTTTCAGCTCTGGAGCGTGTATCTCACTGTCAGAGAAAATCTCCAATTTAGGGCATTCTTTTACAATCAATTCATCCATATATGGCAAGCTGATGGAGTACTTCCTCAAGCAGAAACTCTTGAGGCTTGGTAACAATTGGAGTCTTAGAGACTTCAGTTGTTTATATTCAATTTTCTTCTCCACTTCTTCGCCCTCACGTGCTATGATTTCTTTATCTTCTTGCAATCAATTATGGTCATTCTTTTGTGTTGTTCCATGCTGTTAGCTATTGAGGGAGTTACTAAATTTTCTCATTCATGACATCGTGACACTTCCAGAGTTGTCAAACTACAGAAAGTTACCAAAGATGATACTAAATTCTTCAATTTGATGCATCCAAGTAACTTCAGTGTTTTCCAGTTTCCGAGACCTGATCCACGTTGTGTAGATGCAAGATTTCCCTCATCATTAGAGGAAGAGGGTTGGTTGGGTTTTCTTCTCATGTTTTCCAAAGTGGAAATAATCAACGTTTCCAAGTTGGGAAAACTGACCTGCATGGTTCACGCCAACAGTGAAAAAGATGTATAGAGTGCTACTTCATATAAATTCTGTATAAATATATATACATTATATATATATATAGAAACGAAGAGAATAGTTAAATGATCTATTTCTACTGAAGAGGAGTTGTTACCCAAGAAGGTGCTATATATTCGAAAATAAGCTCTCACACCATGTACAATCGGTGATCAATGCATATCAAAACATACAAATATATTAGAAATAGAAAAGAAAGTCAAGAATAAAGAAAAATGATATACGCATGGTTCAAATGTAATGACTAACATGTCCTACCAATGACAACAAATTTTTAACCTATTCACAGGTTGCTGACCCAAAAAGAATAACTATTTATGTGTTGTGATTTGTGAATATACAAAACTCATTAATTTTATATACATGCATAAAAGTATATTATTACTACCATGATATGATTACATATTTACATAGTAAATGAACTTATATAGTGAAGTATATAAGCATAACAACATAATTATAAGTCCATAAGTAACTAACCAAGGATGTGGCAAGCTTTGACGAATCTCACCTTAAAACAAAAATTCTAAAGATATAAATTTCACACATCCCACTGTTTATCAGTCCTTAGGGGTCTTGGAAGATAACAAACCATGACTTGACCATTCATGATGAATCAAGTTTACTCATCTCAATAATCTACGAAGCCCAAATCCTTCTAACCAAATTATCTAATCCAACAAAATCCAATAGAATCTCATCTGCAAAATCGACTTTCTACCTATAACAAGAGGTTTAAACAATTCCAAATATATCTTCATTAATCGAACCTCCATCATGCATTCTCAAGAATATGGTCAACCTATAATCTTTCCAGTAGCATAATCAAGCATAACTTGAGATTGACTAATATATCAAGTAGCTAAATTCATGAATAATGCATTCATAATACCATACCCTCAAGGCACTTGAGTTTCATAAATTTCCCCATCAAAATTTCAAATATAATAATCAAACTTGAGAACCAAAGTTACAATGAGATAAACATGGTGGATGTGTATATTCACCTTAATTTGTCACCAACAAAATTCACAATCAAGCGTCTGAAGCACCCGACATATTTGAGTAAGATTTACAATTTTACATATAAGTTATAACCCTTCTTAATATCTTAAATTTTCGACTCTCACCAGACCTTCAAAAGTAGTCCTTTTCACCATTTTCCAATTTTTGAACCATTTCTTACATACTTTAATTACACAGAATTAATACAAAGCAACCAAGCAATAGTCATTCAAAACCCTTTTTCCACTAGCATATATCCATCCATATTAATCCATGATTTTCCACCCTTGTATGCATAACTTGTTCAAAATATCAAAACCATACTAAAAATTTACAGATACATAAACATGAAGATATCTACTGTACGTATCTAAGGTTTGAGTACTGTAAGAGAGAAAGTGGAATTTTACCTAAAGAAAGTATTACAATCAATCCCTCAGTCTATCTTGCTCATCATAGGGTTCTTGGAAGAAACCCACCATCAGAATAAGAGGATGAGGATGAATCTTCATAGGAAGTGAGAATCGGAGGCTGGAATTTCATTGGCAGCGAGAACTGGAGGGTAACCCGCAGAGAGGAGAGGGAACGAGAGATCAAGAATAACCTTTTTCCTTCAATGATAACATAAATAAGATGTGAATTTTATATATTTTTTTTATTAAAAAATGTTAATTTTATTAAATTTTAAATAAAAATATTAATTTTTAATTTTTTATATTTAATACTTTTAAATAAAAAAATTAATTTTAATTTTTTTATTTAAAAATTAATAAAATTTATATTTTGAAATAAAAAAATAAAAAAACTAACATTTTTATTTACATGATGCAGACTTAGGTACACATTCCGACGGAAGGCCGATTGGACGTGGCAATGTTAGTTTCGTTCGATTCCCTGTTCCTCTAAGTGGATTGGGAAAGACGCAACTAGATCCTGAACTTTCAAGTTAAAGGATTATAATTTTTAAGCCCTGAATTTAAAAAGTATTATTTAAGTTTTTAAAATTACATAAAATTATTTTAATTTAGGATATTAGTATTTAGATTTTTCTAAAATTTAATAGTTAATGTCTTGGAATTTATATTATATTTTTAGGGTTAAATTTTTAAAGCGTTAGGATTTAAATTCTTTTATGATTTAGTGTTTAGAGCATTAGGATTTTAATTTTTTTAAATTCAATATTTAGAATGTTAGGATTTAAAATTTTTTAGGAGTTAAAATTTATAAATTTTTAAATTAAATGTTTAAAGTATTACAATATATTTAAGTTCAAGGGAAACCAAAAGGAGGGAAGAGGAGGAGAGGTGATGGAATGCATCCTTTCATTTTTCACTATTTCTTCCATCATTTGAATAAGAAGAAATTAAAAAAAAAAAATAAAGTAAGTAAGTTCTCTCTACTCCCTTGTAATTTTTTTACAACTAAATAAGAAAAATTTCTTCCCTCTCATCCTTTCCTTTGCTTTCAAACCAAACATATTGTTGGTGTTTATATATTTTACAGTTAAATGTTAATGTTGTGAGGGTTTAGATTTTTAAAATCAAATATTTATTGTGCTAGAATTTAAACTTTTTTTTTGGTGCTCTTTTCTTGGTTGCAGTCGATGAATTATATCGGTATGATGCTAATATTATAATAGCTCATCCTTGATACCCTTATCACATTCATTTCATTCTATTAAAATCTACCGAAAATCAACACTTACATTAGACTAACATGTATTTTATTTGCATATTCTCTAATTCTTTGAAGGAAAGAGCGTTTAGGCTATTTCTCTAAGGATGCCTTTGAAACTATTACATTTTGCTTTCATAGACCATTTTACAATTACAAATCAAAGTATGGCCCATGCTCCCAATATGCAAATTAACAATTTTTGTTTAGTATTTAGTACATAGTTTTGTCAATTGAAAATATTACTTCATGTTCTAAAGCATTTCTATGGTCAAAGCCCTCCAATAATTGAGTTATACCCATTGATCTTTGAACATTTCTTTAAAATTATCCTGCAAAAATATAGATAAAGAAATCTGGCCATAGCATCTTTTGCAAATGCTATATTAAGATAGCTACATGATGCATTTTACTATAGTATTTACTTTTATTTGCCATAGTTGATCTAGTTCCTCCTTTTTCTTTTTTTTTTTTTTGTATTAAGTTTCTTAAATGAATACTAAATAGTTTTTGGCTTGTGATTATTTTATTGAGATAATTGTAATATAACTGTCTGGCCTTCAAGAGAGTTTCTTCTTCTTTTTTTTTTTTTTTT